CACACACACACACACACCGGGTAATGTGTAGGACTATTTGTTTGTTGGTTCACTGTAGATTTCCTCTGTTTATTTCCTGCTAGTGTGTTATAAATGTGTTGATCGTGCTCTGCAGGATTGTGAGCCGTTTCATACACACACACACACACTGATTAATGCAGAGATATCCTTGCTCCACACCTGCCCTACATACAGCAGACACTACTAGTATTGAATACTAGTGTTCAGCTTAAAGTTAAAGGCGGCATTCATTCAATCATTCATTCGTTCATTCATTCATTCAGTCATTCATTCATTCGTTCATTCATTCAATCATTCATTCGTTCATTCATTCAATCATTCATTCGTTCATTCATTCATTTGTTCATTCATTCAATCATTCATTCGTTCATTCATTCATTCTTTCATTCGTTCATTCATTCAATCATTCATTCATTCATTTATTTGTTTATTCAATCATTCGTTCATTCGTTCGTTCATTCATTCATTCATTCATTCATTCATTCATTCATTCATTCATTCATTCAATCATTCATTCATTCGTTCATTCATTCATTCATTTGTTCATTCATTCAATCATTCATTCGTTCATTCATTCATTCAATCATTCATTCGTTCATTCATTCATTCAGTCATTCATTCATTCGTTCATTCATTCAATCAATCATTCATTCGTTCATTCATTCATTTGTTCATTCATTCAATCATTCATTCGTTCATTCATTCATTCGTTCATTCGTTCATTCATTCAATCATTCATTCAATCATTCATTCATTCATTCGTTTGTTCATTCAATCATTCATTCATTCATTTATTTTTTTATTCAATCATTCGTTCATTCGTTCGTTCGTTCGTTCATTCATTCATTCATTCATTCGTTCATTCATTCATTTGTTCATTCATTCAATCATTCATTCGTTCATTCATTCATTCAATCATTCATTCGTTCATTCATTCAATCATTCGTTCATTCATTCAATCATTCATTTGTTCATTCGTTCAATCATTCATTCGTTCATTCGTTCATTCATTCAATCATTCATTCATTCATTTGTTTGTTCATTCAATCATTCATTCATTCATTTGTTTGTTCATTCAATCATTCGTTTATTTGTTTGTTCGTTCGTTCATTCATTCATTTAATCATTCATTCATGTGTTCATTCATTCGTTCGTTCGTTCGTTCATTCATTCATTCAATCATTCATTCATTCATTTTCTTTTTGGCTTTGTCCCTTTATTTATCAGGGGGTCAGCACAGCGGAATAAACCGCCAACTGTTCCAGCATATGTTTTACACAACAGATGCTGCAACCCAGTACTAGGAAACACTCATTCAGACACACACACACACACACACACACACACACACACACACTCATAAACTACGGCCAGTTTAGTTGATCAATTCCCTTATAGTGCATAGTGTGGGGAAACCGGAGCACCCAGAGGAAACCCACGCCAACACGAGGAGAACATCCAAACTCCACACAGAAACTCCAATTGACCCAGCCGGGACTCAAACCAGAGACCTTCTTGCTGTGAGGTGACAGTTATAACCACTGAGCCACCGTGTCGCCTAGACAGAATATAGATATTATTATTAAGCTAAAGCGT